GCTTCCTACAAAAAAAGTCGAGGAAGTATTTGATGGGTCTGTTTCTATGTCTGAAACCGCACCTAAAACACCTCCTGCCTCTCCTCCTGACAAAACTGAGGAAGAACCCTCAACTGATACAGCAGTTGATGCAGAGGAGCAGACTTTCACCAAGAATTTCATCTGCAACGTGTGTGAAAGACTCTTCCACTCAATGAAAGAACTTGGCCATCATGTGGCTGACCATGCAGATGAATGGCCCTACAAATGTGAGTTCTGTGTGCTGCTGTTTGGCAAGCCATCCGCGCTTCTCGACCATCGATCGAGTCTTCACGGTGTCGGAAAGACCTACGTTTGTAGTGCATGTACAAAAGAATTTGTCTACCTTTGCAATCTGAAGCAGCATCAAAATGAACTGCATCCTGGCCAGCAGTGCTCACACACGGAAGAAGAAAAGGGTAAACTGAGACCTCAGAACTACAACAACACAAGTAAAATCAATACAGATCCTTCAGTCACAAAGTCGCCAGAGGAATCAAAAAAATCTGTCAAAAAGGAAGAATGCGACGTCGACATGACTGCTGATGAGCTCTTTACAACAATTAAGATCATGAGTTCAGATGGAGGTAAGATCAAAGGGCCTGATGTTCGTCTTGGCATAAACCAGCATTATCCCAGCTTTAAGCCGCCTCCCTTTCCTTACCACAACAGATCCCCTGCAGGGTCACTTGCTTCAGCTACTAACTTCACCACCCACAACATCCCACAAACCTTTAGTACAGCTATTCGGTGCACCAAGTGTGGGAAAAGCTTTGACAACATGCCAGAGCTGCACAAGCATATCTTGGCATGTGCAAATGCAAGCGATAAGAAGCGATACACGCCTAGAAAAAATCCTGTCCCCTTGCGCCACTTTGCAAAAACCCAGATTGGAGTTTTGTCTACGACAAACTCTGCTAACGGACTAAATACTTCAGTCAGAGTCAGTCAGGGAATCCGGTCCAAACCAAATCAAGAGCCACCAGTCAAGATCAAAATACTCAATAAAAGGAAGAAGAAGTTTGTCCAGAGGATTATGCCACATAGAAACAAGTCAATTTCTTCAGCAAACAAACTGTCACCTGCACAGGTAGAAATCTTTGTCTGCCCTCACTGCAACAGAGAGTTCACAATGCGCCGCAGCAGAACCAAACACATGGCCGTCTGCCCCAAAAAGGCCAAGGAGATGAAAAAAAGGAAAGAGGGAGGAATCTCTCTCACGAAAGAGAACAACGAACACTCGCATCGAGGAGTTTCCCATTTAAAAGAGAAACTGCAATCCCCGCCTCGGCATAACACAAGACTCCAGACATCTGGTTCTACAAAGAGACCTGCCATTCTTCCAGTGCAAACCGTCTTCTCAAGCAAACGAAGTAAAATCATCATTAAGGAGAGCATACAGCCCAAACAAGAGGCACCCACATTGGCAGAAGTTCCCATTCGCACTTTCAACCCGTCTCTGCGGCAGTACAGCAGAGTGCAGCACAGCATCAAAGGAATTCCCATTAAAATCACTATTGTGAAACCTCCGCAGAGTGTCCCACTGACAGATAAATCTGCTGCTGCTCAGACTGAAGAAGTTGCATCTGGAGCCATTAAAGGCTGCCCTGAGCAGAAAACCTCAGCTTGAGAACATGAGTAATCCTCCAGGATGTGCAGGTAAATACATTTGTACCAATAGTATAATTGATATAGAAAAGTGCAGGGTTGATTTTTGTGTCTGGTGATCCATCTCTGTTGATGTGTGTTTAGGGTCAGTTTTCTCAAAATTCTGAGATAATGTTGCCACGCGCAATATCTTTTAGCTAATTCCACGTGGTTACATTTGTGATAGTAGGACAAACAAGGCCTTTTTCTGGTATGACTCCCAAATGGGAGTCATACCATTTGGGAGTCATGCATAAAGCATAAAGGATCCAGTAGTTGTAATCTTGGTGACAAGATGTTCCTCTTTGCTGGTGTTTTCTGGCTGTGGGATTTCTTTTTTTGGCTTTTACCATTCTCCATGTTTCTTTGGTTGCATTTTTTACTATATCTTTCTCTGGGGTAAAGCTATGTGTGAAGGGCAATGTACATAAAACCTGATGATTTGTTATGTTTTCCATTCATAACTTTAATTCTGTATTATGTTGTCGTTTCAGGACTCCACTGTATGAAACGTTGTCCGTTACCCTACAGGGAGAAGTACTGGTAATCACACTGGAAACCCAGTAGACTGCATTATAGTGTACAATAAATGACTGATTACAGAAAGGATAAAACAGGCTTGTAATGCGAACTTGAGCGAATGTGTGAATGCCATTTTAGTAGCTTGAGATTTTGAGGAAAAAAAGAATTCTTCGTTGCATAAGCTTGCTGTGTCAATAGCTTGGAGTTGCACTTGAAGTTAATCTGGCTGCTTCATGCTACAAATTGGAAAAGGAAGTAGGATGAACTGAGCTCCTCACATTTCCTTCTTGATGGGCGGTTTAGAGAGCATGGCAGGTGGCAATCATTTCTGGCATGCATTTGCACTTTTTCTTCTTTGTACTCTGTTGCCTTTTGGTTTCAATTCTTACTGCATGCTGTGTGTGAGCCTCTGCTCTCGCTACACACATTTATGATGAATTATGTTGATACAACTTCAATACTGAATCTGATCATGAAGCTTTTCTCTGAGGGGTAAGGTCAGCAATCTGAGTAAAGAGTCTACTGTTCAAAAATTCAACATTTGGAGATTTTTTTTTTCTGAAGTTACAAAAAAAAAAAAAAAACCCTGAGTTTTAAACAGTAGCACAATATAATGTAACCTTGGCCTGAACCTCATGTTTTGTAATCATTAATTTTTAGAAAGACAGTCGGAGTAGTGGGTTTTCCATAATTGCTGTGAATGTAATATTTACTGAAATTAATGCTAAAAGCATTTTTTGATGCCCCGCTGCTACTAAATGAGTTTGAGTAGAATGCTCTTGTGTGCCATGAAATTTATTTAGAATGGTAAAATACAGCATGACAACAGTGAAAGTGTATCATCTTTCAGTATTTCTCAGACGAATAATTTATTTAGCTGCTTTATATAAACCATTGTCTTATTGAAATTTACTTTCACATCTGAGCTACGTGTAATTCTTGTTCAGAGGGAATAGCATATGAACATCTTTTAAGTTAAGTGCGATGAAGTGTTATTTTCTCATGCATTTACAGATTGATGTAAACAAATTCTCTACAACTGAGAAATCTTGCCAGTTGATGCATTTGGACCGCAACCCCAAATAGAAGTACTGTGTTTCTATTATGTGAAGTTAGTTGCATCTTTGACTGAACCAATCCCAATATTTGGCATCTGTGCATTTTCATCTGACTTACTCTCTTCTTTATGCTTTGTTTTGCACATCTTCCCAGAAATACTTATCAAACATTTGTTTTGTGGTGTGTTGTTATCCCTACAGTGATTGAAAATGTAATATTGTTTGTTTATCATCTAGAACACACAAGCACTTCACTTTTGTTCGTACTTTCAAAAATTGTTTTTGGCTGGGAGATGATATTCTTGTGTGATATAAAAAAAATGTTGCACAGTGTCCTAAATCAAATAGTATTTGTTTTTATGTAAGATTTTGTTTCTTATATCAACTAAAAGTTTGGAAAAATAACTGCTATACAGGGTAATTATTTTGTGTGAGATTTAAATATTAATTTTGTAATCTGAAACTTGATAAGTCTCTGTATCTGTTAATTTTTTTTTTTTTTTTTTTTTTTTTTTGGGTTGGTTTTTTTGGTTCTGACTGAAACCTATTGGATGTACAAAATAGATTGGGAGACAGATGCTGAACTGTGAAAAGTGCTTGTAGCATTTTAAAAATGTAAATTGAGTCATGTATATTTATTAATAACTTAAAATCATGTTCTTGAATAATTCCTGTTTGATTTGCACTAAAGTTGCTGTTTTTTTTTTTTTTCAAGCACGTGTTAAAAATAAATTGAGCGTCAACTGAATATGAGTTGTGATTCTCTGTTTAGAAAATGTTCCTTGATGTGGATTAGCATCTAATTCAGCTGGGTTCAAAGTACTGTGACTTATAAACAAAAGTCAAGATGTACAAGCTACTGATTCTGACTAAATCTTTTGTTGAAATGAGTGTGTCCAAAATTATAGCAGATATATTTAGTCATAGACATCATTGATGTTGAAGAAGAAAAAAATACATTATTTAAAGATGAAGACTCAAAAGGATATAGTCCATCTGTCTATGATTTGAGAGTAAAGTGGGCCCTAACAATATTTAGAAGAATAATTAACATTTATTGGAGTGGTGAACCTAATTGAATACGTAAAAAATATTTCAAAAGCTCTAATATAAAAAGCAAAAGAGAATGATGTGGAAGAGAACAGAAAACTACCCTTCAAGGAGATTTTAAAAAAAAAAAATCCTGTAGTTATCTCCCTGTTTTAACACAGCTGAATCAAATGATGGCTCGTTAGCAGGCCTGAGCAAAACATTGGCATGCTGAGTAGGTAGTTACGCTACTTCCCAATTGCCAACTTCCCATTAGGAAAAATCAACTGGAACTCTCTCCTAGCTCAGATTTCCCACTGGGAGCTACTCCAGGTTAAGACTTACTGTCGACTTTGTGTTTCAATATAGCCGCTCCTAGCATCAACAGTAGATTTAGTGGAAACATGTTTATACAAGACACACATTGCATGTAGCGCCTACAACTCTACACTGAACAAACTACTATAAGTGGTGTTTGCTTGTGGAAAATAAAGCTTAAAATTATCTTTGCAACAGGTACGGACGTCGCCATGTTGAAATTCCGTCTTAATTGGAACACTGTCACCTCGGGTTATTTGACTTCCGAGGTAACTGGAACGCAGCATTACTACCAGAGAGAGAGAACTAAAACATGCAGAAAACCGACCCTTGAAGACTTTGGACACCCAGGTATTAGGAGTTCCTCTGCTTCAACACGTCTGATTTCAATTGATGGTTGATTAACAGGGTTTTCCTGAACTGGTGTGAGGTGTGTCAAAATCGGGGAAACGTCTACATGCAGGACAGTGTGCCTTGAGGACCAGGGTTGGTGAACAACACGGACAGAAGACACTTTCATGAAGCCAAATTATTGGTAAGTCATGGCCAACAAAGTTCAACATTTAGAAAAAAAAAATGCCCCCAAAACGTTTGAGTTGAGTGTTTGAAGCAAACCTGCTGAAAAATGAACAGCTATTCCCTTTTCCTTCTTCCCATGTAGTCATTACAGATAGTATGAACGTTTAATATTTTGCTTAAGATTAGAATTTCATACGTCCACATTGCTTTTTCATATTCTGAAAACTAAATGTTTTGAACCATACTCACTTTTTAAAACAACTCTTATATAAAATTAGCGGTATATTTCAACAAGGTACAGGATGGCCAGGTGGGGGCAGTGTTTCCTCACGCTCTCTTTTTTTCCAGTGATGAATAAAAAGCCGATATGGTCAGATGCCACTGCTGCTTCACTTAATGCTGGTGTTTGACAGAAGACAAAACAATGAGAGGGAGGCAATTTCAGCTGAACACAGGAGCAAAGACGGTCAAACTCACTGTCACTCGCTCTCCTGCAAAGCAATTAAGAATCCTGCAACAAAGCGGCTTTTTAAAACATGTTATCTCTTTTGTTTCCAAAGAGTTCAACATAAAAGGACCATTTTAAAGAGGGGGGAAAAAAACATAGGGTAATGTACATTTGTGTGAGAACAGGATGAATTCTGTAAAATGTCAAATGCGTTCCCCGGAGTCTGTGTTTGAAATTTGTGTGCACATATTTTGTTCTGATGACTGAATTGCAGCCCCTGACCTTTGACTGTCCACTAAGATTTATTTACCAAGATAGTTGCGTAATTTTTTTTTTTTGCTGGTGTACTCTGGGGCAGAGGTTGAGGTTCTATTTAAATAAAGTGACAAGTTGTGGCAAAAGAGCAAAACAAAATCCCAAAGAGCAGCAAGAAATGGAAAGTAGCAGTTTTTTTTTTCCTTACAAAAGACTTGGGCTCTTGCTTCAGTGCCGAGAAATCTAAATTGCTGTACAACAAACTTATCCATCATGCACCTTTTCTCATGATCAAAAATGAATATCTTGCTGTATGAGAAAAATATTTGGGAAAACACACAAACAAAAAACTCTTTTTAAAACCAGGTGTCTCAGTTTGAGTGAGAGGAGTCCCAGGTTTCTCAAATACAGTTTGCAAGAAACATAGATTTGTTTTTTACTGCTACGTGCTTAATGTAGCATAATATATACTACTTTTTTAGATGCAGTATAAGATACTTTTCGAAAACACAGGACTGTTATTGCCCACTTGCTAGCCTTTCCAGCCTCTGCATATGTTTACAATTCCACCCACCACACACTCTTGTCTTTGTTCAAACCCACACGAGTAAATTTTGCAATGCGACTGGCATAGTAGAGTTTTAGTTGCACAGAGAACCTGAGAAAAGCGGCGAGAGAACCCAAAGTTTGGATCAGTGTGTACAGATAAAGGTATGTTTTTCACTTACTTTGACATGACTTTGCCTCAAAGATCAATTTTTTTTTTTCAGAACAGTTTAAATTCTCAGTTTGCAAGGTTTCATTTTTACATTTTGTGCTGGATTTATTAATGACTTAATTTGGACTTTCCTCTGTCCAGCTTTAAACAACAGACATACCATGTCGCCACCTTCCTGAAATAATGGCCCAAGTCTTAGACAGCTCTCTATTAAGATGAAAAAAAATATATATATTCTTCCTTATATCTTTGCAGTGAGGCCGTTATCACTTACCCTGAACATCAATAACCATGCAAAACATTGCAAAAGCAGCATCATGCTCCAAGGATCCTTGTTTTTAGCAGGAACAGGGAGGCTGTTGGTCAGTTTATTAGCTGAACACATTGTAGTCCCAGTAAAAGAAAAACAGACATTTTCTTTACCGTGTTCTTTCTGCCAGTCTAATAGATAATTCAATTGAAACAAATTGAAAGCTTAGATTAGAACGATGAAGTGTTTTGCAAGGTCTTGTACCACATTTCATCATTCCGTACATTCGTCTGTGGTTTTTAAAGATGTCTTTGAGTCTAATTTTAAAAAGACTCTTGAGATATAAAAACTTTTTTCAAGAGTGTTCTGACCTTTTAAAAACCCAAGCCTTGCATAACGGTTCAAATGCAATTTGTTTGCAATGACATGTAGTTGCCAGAACTTCTTGCAGGACAAAACAAAACAAAACCTAATGTAAATTTGGACTGGATCTAAATAGAGAGCAGCATGTAAAATAACTTTGAAGAGTAAAGGCTCTAAAACTCCCACACGATGCCTTCGTGTTGATAGGATGCAAACATGCGTAAGCTAGCTTCAAAATACCATTAGCTGACATGATGGAACAAAGCAGAGCATCCAACATAAACATTAAATTCACAATGACATGTAAGGAACCAAAGTGCTTTTAGTGTGGTGCACATTTAGCTAATTTACAGTGTAGCACTGACGAGAGTTTTTAAGCCTGTCTGACTTTATTGCCCATTTCAGAATAAATGCACCTTAGTTTTCATTAGGTTTAGAGATTATGTACAACTAATAACCAACATCATAAGAGGTTCTGCATGCATTCAGTGCCTAAAAGTATTTTTTTGTAAATTAATGCTGATTTTGAAATTGTTGTAATTGAGTCATAAATGGCACCTTCATGATAGCATATGGCTAATTCCTTCGAAAGCAGACTGCCGTTCCTGTTTGTCCATCAGAGGCGAGGTTTGTGTGTTCTCTATTTGCACACACAGTTAAATCATTAGCAGAGAAGGTAATTTCTGCTTAATTGTAATTGTTCAGCAACATGCAGCACGGTGAGAGAATGTGGCTTTAATTGGAAACCAGACAGCAATGCAAATCGACTATCACTACAGACAAACTTCTGGGGTTTAAATAAAATATCATCTTTTTTTTCATGATTCTTCATTACTCAGAGAAGGGAGCTCCAAGTGTCAGAGGTGCTGACATATTGCTTTAATTGCCACATCCCCTTGCGTCATGGCGGTAGCTGCGATAAAATGCAGATACACCGAACTCAGCAGCAGCAAACGTAGCTGCTTTAATTTACTGTGATCTGTCGAAAGGCTTCTGGATTCGTTCTCCCCTCTGGTGGAGCTCATACCGCTACTCTTTAAACGCTGTTAGTGATTTCACAATATGTGATCACAAGGGGGTTTGGACTTTTTTTTTCTTTTTGGTATGTGTTTTTTTTATCTGCTATATCCAAATAACTTGAGAGGCTTGCTTTGTTATTGAAGTGAGGAAAAGTAGAGACTGGTAAATGCTGCGTTTTAAAGGATTTGTTGTGATTGTGCTTTAAAAGGCATTATGCTCACCAGGTGGGATTTTAGTGGGGCAATTCAGAATGTTTGGGTAAAAGGGAGTTTGCTGTCTGATTTCTGACACATGAATTTGAGCTGTGCCAGTGCACCTACAGTGACAATCCAGAGCCAGGAGGTAGAGGATCTCCCAGAGCTCACAAGCTGAGCTGGAACTTCAAACCGCGATGCTGCATTTGCATGCTCAAAAAAAAAAAAAAACGGCGTAGGATTTTTTTAGCCTGCGGCGACATTGAACTCTCCCAGGGAATTATGAAAGGAAGTGAGGACACGAGATCAGTGATGATCTGCAACAAAATGGAAGCATCTATCCCCCAAGTCTGATGAGAAACCTTTGATCTCCAACTTGTTAATTTCATCATGCTTAAACCATTTTAGGGTTGAATGACAAACGGAAACACAGTGAGATATAACCCTGGTGTGAAAATGTCGTGTGCATGAGATCTCGTCGTAGAAGAGCGCAGAAGTAAAGGCAACAAAATACAGTAATTATTAGCAATTATACAACCATAGTCAAAGGAGTTTGAAAGACGTGGCATTTTGAAACTTGATCTTTTGTAGATTATTTCTGAATTGCAGAGTGCACAGGCGCAGTTTTCTTGATCTGGGGCTTTCTGTGTGAAGTTTGCATATTTATCCATGCATGTATGGGTGCATTATTTTGGGCACCTTGTTTAAAAAAAAAAAAAAAAAAAAGACTGGGTTAATTGGCTGCTTCCCTGTCTTGGGTGTACCTAGCCTGGCCATCGCCTTCTTGTGTAATTCCGCTCTAAAAGGTTCTTGCTTCCAGAACATTCTGGTCTTTCTCTCCTTGACTCGGATTGCATCCAGTAGAGTTTTTAGCAGGCCGATTGGCAAACGGAAGAAGTTGTGCACAATAATGTTGATTTTCTGCTCTGTTTTAGAATTGTAGTCCGCCTGTAGTTTTGGCAACGGAGGAAGTGGACAAAACCATTCAATCAGCGCTTCTTTCTTCGCAGTGGAGGATGGTTGTTTACAACCCAGGCAATTTCTGGTAGGCTTCTTGGCGTCGAACTGGCGCACATTCACATGGAAATGTTACCCAATGGGCAAAATTTAAAACCTCACCACAGTCCACGCCTCCAGTCAGTCGAGAACCCAGAGCCTCAGTACGAAGCAAAGTGTAGCAGAAGGAGCTGGTTTTCACCAGCCAGGTTGTTCCCCGCCTCTCACCCAACGAGTGCTTGAGTTGTGCACCAGTCAGTTGGATGGATTATTTTTCTCTGTGGAAAACCAAAGCATGTTGCTTAAATATTAGTGATTGACGAACACTATCGTAGCAGTTCTTCCATCAAAAACAATACTCTGTCAGAGTTTGTGCAACAGAGCGATGAAAGAAAAACCTTCACTTTTCTTTTCGACACAAACATGAGCAGAATGGCCTCTGGTAGCTTGCATTCTCTCTTTGAAAAGTTGCCTTTGTTTTATTGCCTTTCCACAGTACCTGTAGCTACTTGGCATGAATTTTAACTGAAGCACAGACGACGAACCCTCCTAGCAGTTTTCACTGTGTGAAAGCGGTGAAACCAAGCTGGTAAACCACGGGGGGAAAAACACTTTGTTGGAACTATTGCTTTTTGTCCTCTGCAGTGCCGTTAATGTGGGAGCAGAATAGTCGCGGTAACAGGAACATTAATAAAAGATGCAGATCCATTTTTAATGATCCGCTGGCCCCTTTACTTTGAAACTGATTTTTGTGTCCATGGTTCAGTTCGTTTGTGCAAAATCCTTGTTTATTTTTCTTGTTGAGGTACTTGCAAAAGCATATTTTTTGTCTGCTTTAGCAAGATGCTATATTAAACCTTAATGCAGATGAGGGTGTGTGAATGAAACGCTGAGATTCGTTGTCTTCTCTGTCTATTTTTGGAAGATAATCCTCAAGTAGGGTTGCATTGGGAGAGAAAATGGAATGGAGGAGCTTCACTGTTCTGAAGCAAATGTAGTTCGCAGAGATTTCGCTCTCGGAAATCGATTCTGGATGTGTTCCTCAATTCAAACTGAGAGAACGCTACAGTTGTCTTAGGCTTTGTAAGCCATTAAAACAGGTTTACAAAGTGTATAAACCTGTTTCAGTGGTCTTAATCATCTCTGTTCTCATCTGCATTTCAACTTAAAGGAATGGATTTAAAAGATGACGTAAAAACGATCTATTTAACAGATTTCTTCCATTTATTCTTCATCACATTTAAGTTTTAGATCACCCAACAAATTTGAATTTCATACAAAGATGATTAGACTAGTTATCTTTGTATAACTAGTCAAGCTTGTATCTGAAGGAAACTCGAAATCTGTTCTCTAATGGGAAGTATTTAACGAGAATATCAAACCATCAGGACTTTGGTAGAAAGGCTTCACATATCAACAAAATAGCTAAAAACAACTAAAACTAGTTTGTAGGATATTTATGCGAAAAAACCCTCCGATGTGGTCGAACCAAAACAATTCTGCGAAGACGAGAGTGCCAAAATTCCTCCACAGTGTCATTAAAAAAAACCCCCAAAAAAAATCTAAGGGTGGCACGATTACTCAGTTAGGTTTAGGAGGAAATTACTTTTTCACATAGAGCCAAGGTTAGTCGGGCCAGCTTTTCTTCCCCCCCACTAGAAAATGAAATCATCATTTGGAAACTACTTTTTGCTCCATTACAGATGGAGTCTACAGACGATAACAGTAAGGGGGGCAACCACTTTTTTAGCAGTCCAGTAGTTTTAGGAAAAGAGGAAACTGGCACCAGAGGGGTCTAGCACCGGTACACACACACACATGCACACTTGCATACATCTACACACACAGTGATCACTGCTCTCAGTTTCATCAGAGGGGTACGAGTCTGTCTTCTCACTGCAGCAGGCTTCTCCTTCTCATTGCTGTATCCCCCTCTCTTGCTTTGTTCACGCTGTGCTCTCCATCTGAAGCAGCGCCACACTGGAGCTTTAATGAGCAGGCTGAGAGAGCGAGCGCAACACACAGATCTCCCGTCAGCCAAAGAAGAGCGCACAACTCTCAACGGCATAGGAGGCGACCAGACGAGCTGCTGATCTGCAGTCAGCTTAGAGGCAACTGAAGAAGCCAAATATCCTCCCTGTGCGAGGAAGCGTAGGAAGGGGTCGTGAAGAGACTTCGGAGGCAAATCAGCTGAGAGAGAGAGAGGAGGGGCCGGGGGGGGAAAGAGAGAAGACTACTCCGGTGTGGAAAGCTGACCTTCGGTGCACTCCAAAGAAGAAGAGGAAGAAGGATCGGCCATGGAGGAGACGCTCACCTGCAGCCGAAGCCCTTTCTCTCAGGTGTTTGGGCGCCAGGGTCAGCTGATGCAAGCCAGTAAGTGTTGATACACACTGAACATTTTCAAACATCTTGTGCATTTTTGTTTGTTTTGAGATTTGTTGCATTCATGGTCCAAGTAGGCTTCTAGGTGATCTGGGTGTCACTTCTAATTAATTATTGTTCAAGGTAGATTATACCAAGTGGAAATGTTATGCAACGGAGGTATTTAGGGAGGCAAGGGTTAAATCTGTCCCACTTTCTGCAAAAAGAAGCATCTTTTCTTATAACTCTCTCCCTTTAAAAAAAAAGCTTTTGATGGATTCATCGCTCAGTTCTCCCAACGTTGTTTAATCTTGTCATCATAAAGAACGCAGTTCCACTTTAGCCGTACGTGATTTCCTCGCACGCTCGGGTTTTATATTTTCTGCTTCAGTTTCAGAGTAACGCAGAGTGACACGTTGATGTGTTGGCGCTGATAGGCTGTGAGAGAGATGTCAGGTGTGAACATGTGTGCGCTGGCGGATGGTGTGCTCACTTTCATTCTGACTGTGATCCTTTGATCTCAGCCTGGCTGCACAAGCCACAGGTCTGACATAAAAGCAAGAGGGGAAAGAAAAAAAAATCACACAGGACATTAACTAGCGGAGTGCAATAATACACCCGTATGGAGTAATCCCACTAAATGTATCATCGGTGTTCTTAATGTTCATACTTTGTTGAGCTGGGTAGGTTGTCTAATTTATTGGAAGGGAGGTTTGAAGTGTTTTTGTAGTTGACAGATGTTGAGATTAAGCTGCTGCAGCAGGACTTAAAAAAATATTACTGTGCAAAAGTATTCATAGGTTTTGATCTCTTTCACATTACAACCACAAGCCACCTTGAGGTTTAATATGATGGAACTCAAAGTGGCACAGGTCTGTCTATTTGAAGGGAAAGATTTACAATTAAACATTTGAGAAGTGTTGCTTTTCTTTGTATTCAGTCCCCCTTAATTAATTCCTTGTAGAACTCCCTCTTGGTGCAATTACAGCTGGAAGTCTTTTGGGATATTGCTCTACCATCTTTTCTCTGTCAGATTACATGTCCGTGAACAGCAGTTTTTTCAGTTCTCGCCACAGATTCCTGATTGGATTTAAGCTTACAGTTTGACGGTCCTGGTTGCTGTTGAGATTTGGTTTCCAGCATAAATCTTCAACTTGCCTTGACAAGGTTTCTTTCAGTGTTTCCATGATTTTAGCCTCTTCCACCTTCCCATGGACCACTGTTTGATACCAGTTTCACGTCTCTGCTGAAGAAATGCAACCATGTCAACATCATGGTGGTAAGGATTAGGGAGGATAACGAGTATGGGGTGATGTGGGCTGTTTCCGAAAACTAATGGTGTTACTTTGAACTTGTCTGGTCATGAGTATATTCTTCCATCTCTGTATGCTTTTAGGAATTGACTCGATCATTCTTTATATTTTAAGTTTGGAAAAAGTTTCCTGGGGCCACTTTACTACAGTAAAATGCACCCCTGGCTGATCTAACGCCGAGTATCGTTCTTGGAGCTTCGCTGCAGATTTAAGTGATTACAAGCTTGTGTCTACTCAGCGAGTTCATCCGCTGCGGTGCAGAAATGTTTTCCCTTTTCTTAGTCCTACTGAAACACGTTTACAGTTTATTTATCAGACGGTGTCAAAATTAGCTAAATCCCTGCTGCTTTTTCTTAACACTCTCATCAATATTTAACGGCCTTCTTTCAGGTTACTGTTTAGGTTGCAGGAAAGCGCAGGCCTTCATTTGGCCTTTCACACCACCGTAAATGGGAAAAGAAAATTGGACATCAGGCATTGATCGCATGTCTACCATTTCTGACTTTAAGTGATCTACTTGATCACTTAAAGTAAAATAATATGAGGTAAAGCTAACTTGTTCGTTTTGCATCAAGTACAAAAATCATGTGCACAATTTTTCAAGAATTTATTTCCACAGAACTTAACAGAGTGTGCACGCGCTCCTGATGTTGCTTTCAAATATTTCAACCAAAGTTTTGCAGGGACTTAAACATTCATGCTCTGGAGCATCTTCACTAAGTGAGGAGGATTTAAACTGAAACGCCACTCTCTGCTTCATGAAACTGGCATTACCATTGTATGTGTTGTGCTGAATTACAGTCGCTCCTGCGCTACTCCAACTTATCTATGCTCTTTGAAGCTTCTGCTGCATGGCTGCGATTTTTTATTTTTTTTTGGGATGTGTGAGACGGGGAGGGGAGAGGAAGGAGAGCGGTGAGAAGAGGGGCAAAAAAAAGTGAGCTAGCTGCAAAGTGTTTGAATAAGAGATGGATGTTTTATTCTATTTTTAGCAGCTTTTTATGGTGTAACACAGTTGTTGAGAGACTAATCCACAACAGTGCTGAGCCACAACATTAAAAGTTAGAAGAGTAATTATTAGGGGGAGATTTTTTTTTTTTTTTTTTTCTAGATAGCTTTGGCTGTCACCCATGATTGAATCTGAAGTCCCTCACCCAGATGCAAAGTCCTCCTTGAGCCGCGGGGAGAAAATTCATTTAACGAGTGTTGCATGCGCCTGAAGACCTGAATATTAACATCCTTCTGGTGGTCTCCTGGCAGAACAAACTCTTGACTAAATTTTCCCTTTCTCATAAAACCTTATTCACGTGGCAGAGCCAGGTGCGTAAACCGGCTTTAATTCTCCAACTCCCCACCGGTGGTGTGATTTATTCCGCGTTCAGCGTTGTGATGCGCCATCAGAAATCCCTCAGCAGCTCCTGCTTGTTGGAGGAGCATTACCTTTGCTGGCTCCAAAGTAGTTGAAGAGCTCAATTAAAGTTAATTTCCCCAACGCCGCTTGTATATTTTTGCAAAGTCGATTCAGTGCAGGAGAAGAATGTTTTCTTACAGCAACGACTTGGTCTAAATTTGTCGTAATGTTGTAGAAATAACAGAGATTAGGTCTTCAAAGAAAACTGTCAACATGTCATTTTAAAAGCTAATTAAAGAGGAACCCTGTTTCTGCAATTGAAAAGAATCTCTTATCGCCTGGCTGTGACATTTTCAAACCACCTACCAGTTTTTTTGTTTTTTTTTCATGGCTTACTTCATATGTTGGCCCAAATTTTAGACATTAACCTTCTTTTAGCTTGAAAATAAATGGGCATGTAATGCGATTAATGTCAGACACTAATTATCTTTACCTCGCGGTGCTTTTCCCTTTCTGCATTTTTGTGTTTTGGTTGTGTGAAGCTGGTGGAAACAATTACGTAAATTGCTTTCAATTATTTTTGTCTTTCCATATTCTAAAATAACTCTGTCATAATGCTTTGGCTCAAAGAACACAGAAGCAGATGAACTGGGAATATGAAACGAGTCCTACCTGCAGTTGAACAAGTTTTGGCTCCTGAAAAATTACTTTTTCTTTGACACTAAAGTTGATTCAAAGAGTTTACATCCATTGTGAAATTGCAATTTTTTTGTTTTTAGATATTTTTGTTAAGATGGATAAAATGATAAATATCAGTAAATTTTGGCCTAAAATAATTTTACATTTCAACATGATGGAAACCCAAAAGCACACAACATAATCAACAATTGTTTGAAAAAAATTTGATCTCACCTGAAGAAAGCTTTCTTAGTTGGGGAGAGTGGATGATTGCTTAACTGTCCAAGAAGCTTCTCATACTCCTACATCTTTGGTAATGGCATTTAAAATTGGTGCATTCTCATAAACATTCTCAGATTCAAAAATCGGAGGAACTAATACAAGTTTTGTTTAAAAGACATAAACTCTGTTTCCTCAAATGTCCTCTCGATAGCTCAGCAAGCTGCTGGTGAACCGGCGCTCAGGAAGTGGTGAGCAAGATTTGAAGTCTTAATGCATGACCACTGCAGGTGTTGGACATATTTTGGTCTTCTTTGAAGTGATTAATTCCTCTCCTTCTGCCACTTATATTATGGTTCCAGCAAACTCGCTCAGATTCCTCACACCTCCTTACCCGGTGGGCTTTCCTGCAGTTAGAGATTAGCTTCACGCTGCTGGTGTTGCTAATCATGTGGAAGAAGTCACGTTGCAGGAACTTTGCTTGTGCAGTTGGACTGCGTACTCAATCTGGTTCCCGTTATCGCCTTTTCTATTTATATGATTCACATTTTTAGTTATTTATTTTTTTTGCCCCCAGGGGTAAGTTTTCAATGGTTTGTGAATGGAACCAGTTGTTTGTGATAACTGGTTCTATGTTCTGTAACAGAATATTTTTTCTCACCCATCTTACTTAAATACTGATGTGAATAAAGCTCACATTTTGCATATTATTTGTACAAATTAAGTTTTGTGAGAAAACATAATGATTCACATGACTAAGAATCTTTGACTTTGAGATTATAATACTTGATCAACTTCCAAGAATGACAGTTTTAGTGATTACTTTCATGATTAGGAGACGTTTGACTTGGTCAAACATTGTAAAATAATCACAAAAATAACTTTTTCTCCATGTATGGAGTCAGCTTAGTTGATTAGAAAGCATTAAAATGGTTATGCAACATACTTGGACATTTTGTCTAAGCCTCTGATTGACAAGTTAGACAAGGATGAATGCAGATCATCCTTCTGCACCAGTTGGCTGAGTTATCTTCACATGAGGTAAAAAAAAAAAAAAACACATTGCACTTGCATCAGAAATTTAATCCAATCAAAATCCGACGAATTAGAAAGCTGCCCGTTGTGTTCAACCAGCCATAGTTAAAAACCTTGAAGTCTTGCAAACGTTTGTATCGGGATGTTTGCAAGAATGTGTGAGGAAATCTACTTTTATTGTCATCCTCTGACAGAAAAAAAAAAAAGTCACTGAAGTTCATTTCTATGGCGCACCTGGCATGGTCTGACAATTTAACGCGTCACCCTTTCTCTTTAAGATCTTAGGATTGTACAACTTGAGTTTCTATTAACCTTCAGATGAATGAACAAGCTGCGAAAGGAAACCCGACTGAGGAGTCGGCGGGCAGCCCCTCTTCCGCCTCATCCCGTTTCTATCTTCCACCGAGCTGTTTTTC